AAAATAGTAACCCAAAACAATCTAATTATGTGATGTTAATAGGTGGCAAATTAGGCACTCAGAAAAGACAGAAAAATTTAAATGTGGTCATGCCACACCCCTGCTTGGGACGTCTTCAGTGGTTGCCTGTTACCTTTAGGGTAATGTTCAGAATCCTTAAAGTAGCCCGCATGGCCCTGCATGATCTGGCCCCTGCCCCATCATCATCATCTCTCCTCCTAGCTCACACTGGCTCCAGCCTCACTGGCCTTGTCTCTGTTCCTCAAATTCACTGAAGTCCTTCTCACCTTCAGGCCTTACCTCTTAGCTGAAAGTCCTTTCTTAGCCTCCCACCCCACCCCAATTTGCTTGGCCAACCTGTTCATCTTTTAGGTCTCAGCTTACATAGGATATTTGAAGAGAGGACCTTCCCTGGTCTTCTAGTGTAAATCACTTCCAACACCCACACATCCACGCACATGCACACACACATGCACGTACATACACCATGTGTATGTCAAGACTACTGGTTGACTTAGCCACTTTGAGACAAAAACTAAGTTCATGTACCTCAAAGCATCTGGTTGACCCAAAGAGAGCTAGCGAGCAAGAGTAAGGAGAGAGACAGATGATATTGTCTTTTTTCTTTTTAATTAAAGTTTATCGGGGTGACAATTGTTAGTAAAGTTACATAGGTTTCAAGTGTACCCTGTTCTTTTCTTCACAGCACTTATTACAATGATATTGACTTATGTCCCCCTCCTCTACTAGAGAAAGGGACCAAGGCAGGGACCTGTTCACTGCCATGTCCCAGCACCTAGCTCAATGCCTGGTACATGGTAAATCTTTATTGAATATATGGATTATTTTAAAGACGGGTGGCTGCATTTAGACACTTTGGAAATCATAAAACAAGTGGAAAGTGAGAAAACAAAACAGAAAAGACCAAAGAAATCTTAATAATTTATAATTCAGTGAGGAAATATGAATGGTGCTTTTTTTTTATTTATTTATTTTAGCTGAGCCATCCTGCCAACCTGTTGGCAGCTCAGTGGCAGCTCAGCTTGGGCCGGGAATCGAACCTGCGACCCTGTTGCTCAGAGCTTGCACTCTTGCGTGAGCTCTTAACCAACTGAGCCACTCGGCCGGCCCCTGAATGGTGCTCTTTGATCTAACAAGTTATCATATAATGACAGATTCTTATGACCAGTCCATAAGCCAGGGAGAATAAAAGGAGGTGGGCTCTTTGTCCAGCCTGAGGTGTTCAGGTTAGCTACAAGCAAGATTGTATAGCACTGCTTTGGACTATCAAGGGCATTAGTGGAATCTCTTTCCTTGAAGAGGGAGAGCTTTACATTTCTGTGATGTTATGGATGTCCCATTAGAAACAATAGAATGGATCGCTAGTTTTTTTATTCCCATAGGTTGCAATAAAATGTTCCCTTTTTTTGGCTGGATTTGATTCAAGTGATTCATCATTTCATTTTAGCTTTGATAATCCTCTCCAAAGGTACATTTCCCTACTACACTCTGAACAGTTCCCTCTTTTTATCAGGTATCAGAGTAACACTGCTTCTGCTGTTCTTGAAACAATTACCAACATTCAGCCCAAAGAGAGCGGAGGCGGAATAGGAGAGACCCGAGAAGCCATCGTTTATAGATTATCTGAAGATATGCTGAGCAAACTGCCTCCTGATTACATTCCTCACGAGGTAAGCTGTGCCCTTCACCCCAGTGTACAGGGCTGTCTTTGGGTTTCACTAAGCTGAGCCCAATCCTGGGGCAGTCCCTCCCTCCCTCTGCCCAGTCAGTCCTTCATTTTCAGCTGTTTCGTGTTACCCGTTGGTTTTCCCTTCCTTCCCTTTCTCAAGCATCCTGCAAATTATGATCTGCATTTTTTTCCCGACACCTTTCTCTATTTCCTTTCTACCCCACTTTCTCTTTCAATCGCTTTTTCTGTACCTTTTCCCCATCTTTGGATTCATCTGTCTTTGGGTCCTCAGATATCTTAACCGTCTAGGCTGGAAACCTCTCCCTCCCTCTTTTACCTAAGTCTGCTCTGTCCATCCTTTAAATTTACCCCTAGATTTTGTTTCCTGCCCTCCATACTTTTCATTTTCCAGTCCCCTCAACCAGGTAATAGGGAAGCAAGCCATTTAAATGAATTCACTCCCCAGTTTCGGTGGCAATCATTTTCTACTTCTTAAACCCCCCAGGTGTTTGCTTATTAATCTAAGTCAGTTTTTCTCAATTTTTTTTTAATTTCAAGACCCTTTTACAAAATAATTGAGAACCCCAAATAGCTTTTTTATGTGGGCTATACTTACTTATATGTAATATATTAGAAACTTAAAATGGGAAATTTCAAAAATATTTATTAATTTACTGTAAAATAACAGTAATAAACCCATTACATGTTAACATCAATGACACTTTTATTTTTAAAAATCACTTATTTTTCAAAACAAAAAAATAATTGAGAAGAGTGGGATTGTTTTATAGTCTTGCAAATCCCTGTAATATCTGGTTTAATAGAAGACAGCTGGATTCTTATGTATATCTGTTTCTACATTCAATCTGTTGTGATAGCACATTCAAACCGCTGTCACATAGCTTCTGCAAAATTCCACTGTACACTCCTGAGAGGAGGGGAGTAAAAGAAGTCAAATAATGTCTAAGTATGGCTGTAAAAAAATGTAACCTTGGGCCGGCCGAGTGGCGCGATGGTTAGGAGTTGGCTTCGGACGCCAGAGGGCCCCGGTTCGGATCCCACATATGAGGGCCAGTGACACTGCCCTTCGCAGTTAAGATGCTGAACAGCAGCTCAACCTGGAGCTGGGCTGCCTTGAGTCGCCGGTGACGGCATAGGCTGCAGCCCCTATGGCAGAGGGTTGCCATGGGCTACTGTATGAAGCCAGCAGCCAGTGTGAGCGGGGCAGCAGCTGCAGTGAGCAGCCGTCCAAAAGCCGGCGACTGATCTGCCTCACCCGGGAAGAGCGCAATGATGGTGCCAACTTGGGCCAGCGAAGCAATGTCCTCCACAACTAGACTGAAGAACAAAAGGACAGCAACTTGTCTGTTCCCCTTCCCCCAATTCCCCAGCACTATTCCCATCCCCCCTATTCCCCAATAAAAAAAAATGTAACCTTGTGAACCCCCTGAAAGGATCTCAGGGACCTTCAGGGTCCCACACTACACTTTGAGAACTGCTGATCTAAATAAATCTTTAATTGTGGTAAAATTTCTGGATGACCTGAAAGTTCTATAAGAGGTCCTCCAACTTGGTCCCTTCTTCATGCGAGAGCACACGGTTGTGACCTCTGAACTCTTTCCTGTTCTTAGCTTCCATCCGTCAGTGCTGATGGTCAGAACTTCACCTGAGTCCTAGGCTTGACTGAGTCAAGTTTAACTTTTCAACCAAAAAATGAGAGGCTCATACCCTAATGCACTGTGGTCCTATATCTATCCTGTCCTGCATCCCCGAGTCTGAGAAAAATGCATTTGTCAGCTAGGAGCCCCTAGCCATCCAACCTGTAATGAGGATTAGGGTACCCCCAACAATTAAAAAAAATTCCTTGTCTCTTAAAGCAATTTTTGTTTCCATTGTGTAGTACTGACATTTAGCCAAGATTCTGAAGTCAATGACTTCATGTAGAGATAGTTAAAGTAAGGCGAAAATACTTTCTTAAGGAGTAAATATTTTAAGTACGTACTTGCAGTGGTTCATTGTAAATGATCTTCAGAAGACAGATGAGGTGTAATACCTGCCTGCCAAGATCTTAAAAACTGGCATGCGAGAGAGAGAGAGAAAACTTACGACGAGATCACAGGTTGATGTCACCAGAGGAGGGTTTCAAGACCCTGGGATAATTTGAGCTGTCTGGGGTTGGGCGAGTCCCCTTCACCAAGGTCTCAGTTCTGGCACTATCCTGGCAGGAGCTGAGTGTGAGGGGTGTCACTGAGTGGATTGCTATATGGGAGGGAGTCCCCACTAAGATACCAACAACTGCTTCCTCTTTCAAGATCACTTACTTTGTAGTGTCCTTTATTTTATAGAAGAAATGTGGCAGTAAAGTGAACTTTGCAACTTGGGATGTAATTATACTTTTGACTTCCATAGTGAACACGAAGCCACATTCCTGTAGAAGCCACATTACTACATGGTCCCAGGAACATAATGAAAATCCAATATGACGTTACAGTAAATCTTTCATTTTATTAATCAAAAGACAACTTCAGGCTAGAACAATAATCATACTCAAACTAAAATCAGTACTAAAATCAGATTTTCTAGAGTCTAAGTTTTTCTTAAGCATATCTCTATTGCAAGTGAAGTTGCTCTTCTAAAACCTTAAGTAGAGCAAGGCCATTTGTTTGGGGCTGTTAGCATACTAAAGCTACCTGGGCTATTGGTCTGACATTGCAGCCAATACCTGAACTTAATTTCCCACTTGTGAGGGGAGCCAAAGTATTTCCACAATTTCCCCTTTCCTTAAGTGTGAATCTCCACAGCGCAGTCCTGATGTAAAGGGGTTGATGCATATGCCACTGGAGGCCGAAGGGCTCCAGATGAGAACGGGTAGTGGAGCCTGTAAAAATGTAAGTCCTAGAACCAAATTTAGGAGAATGCCAGAAGGTTGGCATGACGGACTGAGCAAGGGACCCCCACTGGCACGTTTGATGAGGATTTCAGCATCACTTGCTGTTTACACAGGTCATCCCATCCGGCTGTTCAGTTTTACGTCACTGCTTCCCTCTGAGTTTGTGCACCCCCTCTTCACCACTGGCTTACTGGAAGTGCTTCCCAGCTGCCATAAAGCAGAGATGTCCATTGTGGAGTTAGGAACTTCTGTGTCACATCAGAAAAATGAGGAGGGTGGTACAGACGACCCCGAAGCTTGTCGTCCACCTGTAACATTCCAGGACTCCAGCAGGGGCAGTGGGTGCTCCCAGCAGAGCATCCCACAGCTTCCTGGCTCTCTGGTGGACCATCGCTCTAAATTGGCTCTGGCTCCATGTGTTCATCCTTATCCCTCCTACACTGGCAGCGTTTCACTGTGGCCGGCAGAAAGTTCAAATCTCTTTATGAATTCTTGCCAGTATTCACAGTCAATCTTTTCTTGGGCGTATGTCACTAAAGTGAAATGTGTATATGTATCGGCTTATTTTCCAGTAATTGTTAGTATTTTATTGTTCCGACAACCAGAAGCTTTTATATTGATCTCTTCAAAATGGTCAATAAGTGATATACCAAAAGGAACAAATGACAGGTGCTTAATGACCCTCCCACAAAGTCCAGTATTTTCATTGGTTAGATTAGGAAAGCCTCACTTTAGTCACCCTGGCCAAGGCAGCAATGATCTTAGGAAACTACAGCCGATCACATCCACTAGTGACTGTTCTGTAAAGATTTGGGCTGTATTAACTTGCTGTGACATTTCTAATAATGACTCTGTAAGCATTATGGAAAAAAAGTTGCAAACTGTACTCTTATGAAGGTTAAATTATAAAAAAAATACTTAACTGACACTTAGTACTTAATCATTTGAAAGGGGGAAAAGGCACAATTTTATTTCATCTTTTTAAAGTATATTTCCAATTATCAACTAAGTACAATCAGTAGATATAAAAATCATTTCAGCTGAACAGTAGTTTGGAAGCCCAGAAAATAGGGTAACTTATTGGCAAGTTTGGTTCTGCAAGAGATACTTTAGAGTTCATTTGGGCCACTGGAGATACATCTAGAGGAAGAAAAAGAACAGCAAAAGCAGAAGTCATTGAAAGAGAGTGACAGATGTTTTTTTTAAATATCCTTCATTATATTGTATATTTTGTTTTAGGTGAAAGCTCGTTTGATAAAGATGGGACACCTTAATTCAATGAACATATTTCTTAGACAAGAAATTGACAGAATGCAAAAAGTCATCTCAATCGTTCGCAGTAGCCTGAGTGACCTAAAATTGGCCATCGAAGGAACAATCATTATGAGTGAGGTGAGCTGTTGTTATCTCAATCATCATTTCCCTCTTTTGTGGATTTTTCTTCTTCTCATATTTCAACTTTATCTTTTTAGAACTTGAGAGACGCCTTGGACAACATGTATGATGCTCGCATCCCTCAGATCTGGAAAAGAGTGTCCTGGGACTCATCCACACTGGGCTTCTGGTTTACCGAACTTTTGGAAAGAAATGCTCAGTTTTCTACTTGGATATTTGAAGGCAGGCCCAATGTATTCTGGATGACTGGTTTCTTTAATCCCCAAGGTATGTGCTCATAGAAGAGTGGGCAAACCTGGACGATGTGGGGGATTGTATAGTAGCACTGTGTGATGCATGTGTCTTATATTAAATAATATAGAAGGATAGATAGCCTGCTGAGTGTTGGACACACGCTTTCAAAGGTTGGAGACCACAGATGACCCTCCCGTATTTGTTTTACAAATTCATTCTGAAATTCTTTCTACCATAGTGCTTCTACAATATGGTAGCCCAGCCTTCATTTCTCTTCTCACTCACGTCAGCAAGCCATCAGTCTGTGGTTAGGACATGTGAAATAGTAAAAAAAAGGTTTTAGCCAAAGCTTAGTTTTTACATGTTTATGAAAATGACAAAAATGAAGCCTCAAAATATGAGTAGGCAAAAATTGTTCCTAGAGTTCAGAAAATTAGATTGATTTCAAAAATGATCGTATGGCAAAAGTTTAATTCAGTGAACTTCAGGAATCTGTCCCCCCTCAGTTTTTGTTTTTGTTTTTCCTTTGAAAAGGTGCTTTGTGATTCCGCTGCATTTATTCTTCATTCTTTTGGGTTGTCAAAAAAGTCATGACGTATTTTTTCTATGTTTTTCATTGAAAAAATGCATAATGACTTTTCCGACAACCCAACAGATACATTTACTGAATAAGTTACTGACTGGATGTTGTAGAGTTCAGAAAAATGGTAACTTTTTGTCTTACTACAGTGTGAATAGTTTTACTTCAAGTAACTCTTGGTCAAAATGAAGAGATGGTGTGTTCCTTATAGTTCAATACCTTATAGCTCCACTAATAATACAACTTAAGAAGCATTCATATTTACAGATTTAGGATGTATTATTGCTACTCACCGTAATCTGGTGGAGTCTCGTAAAATTATGTTAAGTGAAGAAAGTCAATCAGAATCCATTGTAATGTATGTATACTGTATACACTGCAACGTATGTAGAATGTATGTATACTCTGAAATTCCATTGATACAAAGAATTAAAGCTGGCAAAACAGAGCCATGGTGTTAAAAGGCAGGATTGTGGTTACCCCTGAGGGCGAGCAAGGGCAGTGATTGCAAAAGGGCACGAGGGAGCTTCTCGGGGTCTGGAAATCGTCTACTCTTTGATCTGGATATTGGTTACCTTAGTAAAAATGCATTGAGTTGTACATTTATGATTTGTGCACTTTTCTTTGTATGTGTAATACTTTAGTATATCTTAAAAGTTTACATTTAATTGTATCTGTGTACATACATTCATTCACATCACGCGTTTTCAAGTGCCTTAACATTTTCTAAATTTAAAACACTAACCATGGTGGTTTTTATGAGCTTACCAAATTATACATAAACTAGTATTATTATGTCAATAGACTTTAAATTTGTAAAGGACAGCCTCCAGATTTCACTTATCAATTTTTCCCCCAGAATTTCCATTAAATTTGGTGAGGAAAATTTCTTATTATGGTTCTCAGGTTTTGTGGGTCTACTTATGAGTCTCTTTCCTCCTGACCAGCCCCCAGTTTCAGTACATTGTCACCAGGTAATTCCCGGCTTGGGAGCCTGAAGCAATAGCGTTTCACTTACTTAGGATTTTTTGACCACCTCCCATTTGCGAGGCCCTCTGTCAGCGCTTCAGTAGAGAGAGATCTGAGACCCGATTCCTGCCCTAAAAGAGCCCATGGTCTGGTTGGTAAGACAGACCCATCAGCCACTTGAATGTGATGTGATAGATGTCGCCCCCTGCCCCGACCCGGTGAGAACTAGTACAGAGAGCAGAGAGATGAATTTTGCTGAGGCAGCGCTTCAGAAGAACTCCCTATGGGAAGCAAAGAGTAGGGTTTGCGGAGGCAGGGATGCAAGGAAAGGCCAGTCCAGGCAGCAGCCTGAGTAAATACAAGGCCTGTCCAGGGCGAGAAGGAGACAGTGTGGCCAGAGCTCAGGAAGCAGGAGCAGGAGTGGTGGGGAGTGAGGCCGGAGCGTGACGTCTCCCAGGGGAGTTTGGGCTGCATCATACATGCACTGGGAGGTCGCCAATGATCAGACCATTCCTGGAGAAAGTAGAGGGAAGATTGGAATAGGGGGACCCAGAGCAATGAGATGCTTACCAGGTCCAGGGGAGAGGGCCTGGGGTTGAACCAGGTGCAGAGGAGGGGACAGAGTTGGTAAAGTGATGAAATGGGAATCTTTGAGCGAGCAGGGAGTGGCAGTGGCTGGGCTGAGGCAAGGTACAAGACAGGGCAGTGCACGAGGCACTGGTTGGGAGGAAAGGCAGGACTCTGCATTTGTCAGCTAGCGCTAGTGGGACACCTAGGTGGGGAGGTGTGTTGGGAGGCTTGGAGTTTGGGAAAGGGGCAAGGACCAATGATTTTAAAACCTGTGGGGTTGATAAGTGTGTTTTTATATTCAGAAACCAAGGGGAATAGGATTGGTTCATCCCTGGCTTTCCATAGACCCAGGTGACTAAATCATAGCTCACAGATGACTAAATCATAGAAAGTGATTTTCTTTCACTAAAAATGTGACTTACAATAGCAAAGCATTAATATGAACTAATTGTTACTATTTGTTAAGAAATGTTACAAGCCAGAACAATACTTAAATACAAATGCAGGTATCCATTTCAATTTTTTTTTTTTACCTATCTTTTCTTGTTAACAATCCCAATCCTTTCTCTTTTCTTCATTTCTGGTTTCAAGTTAAAGTTTCTTTCCCCCTCTCATAGCACCCCACGTCTTGGAAAGCCCCAGATGTATTTAGGCATCCTATCCGTTACACACACAAGCACATAGACACAAATACTCTTATCTATGATTGCTTTCTCTCGTTGCATGGAAGAGTGGAGTCACTTTCCCTGCATACTAATCACTTCCCTGTCTCCTTCTCCTTCTCTTGACACCAGAGACAAAATACGTTCCATTCCATGGCACCTGGGCAGGTCTGGGAAACAGAAAGATCATAGCCAGTCCCGTGTGCTCACAGGCAGGGTGCAAGCAGGTCAAGTCCTTAGATTTGGAGGCCTCTCTGGCCACTATTTTGACATCAATAATTGATTTCTCAACATGAATGTATCTTCCGGTTTTATATCTTCTAACCCACTCCCCATTAACGAAATCATTTCTTTCTTTGGCTCCAAATATTTGAGTAAATGTTTATTTAATATTTTTTTTAACAAAGCACACATTTAAGCAAAACACAGTGCAATTGGCAAAGAGGCCATGGTTGAATCACAAATATGTATAGCCCAAATCACCTAGGAATATTTGAAATGTTTTGTTCATAGATGGCCATTTATTTTGTGTTCGTATAATGCAGTGTGCATCTGCTACTGGCTGATTTGTGTCCCCCATCATGCCTCTGATGATGGCTCCTCAGACCTAAGTGACTTTGAGGTCCACACTGCCGCAAGGACAGGTGTCAGGCCTTGTTGGCCCCCCGCGCCGTGTCTGAGCTCATGCTGTTTGCAGTGCCGCTTGGTCGCATGATGGTGGCCTGATATTTTGTCTGTCGTATTTGAAGAGGCTGAGTCAGCCACCGTGGAGCTAATCTAGTATTTTCAACCCCTTTCACAGTCATTTCTATAGTAATTGATGAGCTCAGCCATGTGGCAGTAAGATTTGATTATTAAAATGGACAAGCTCTCTGTACCCACGACCCTATAATATTTGCTCAATGGCGCAGCTTTTGGCATTGTGTAGATTTGCCTCCCAGTGGACTGCTCAGGCCCAGGAGAAACTGTTGTGTTCCACTGGGTTTTCCCAGCAGTCATTGGCACATAGTCACATATTGTTTAAGATTGTGCTTCTTGGAGTTCTCAGAGGATTTCTTTGGTCTCTTTTTCCCATGGGTGTGCATTTTCAAAGCATCATGTAGACATCAATTAGATTCTTGCGTGTGCACACGCACACGTGTGTGTGTGTGTGTGTG